GAAAACTCCGACACTGAATGTACCTCTCATCTCCAACAACGTAAGTCATGAGAATTCCTTAGTCTTCTGACTCAGGAACAGATGGAAAACCTCTGAACTCCTTTTCATCAACTGCAAAGAGCAAGAGGAATTTCCGTTTACCCTGCTCAAATGTGCTTTCCTTAACATCTAAGCATAAATTAATTTTCCCACTCTTATTTCAGTGAAGCATTAGATACACAGAACACACACACAGTTCTGCAAACTTGAGATTCAAAATTGTAGAGAAAAAAGAAGTAACACAAATCAATGTTATTTCTGAAAGACTGAAGTGGACTGTTTAAGCACTGCCATCTTGCTTAGGTAATGTCAAACGCAAGGGCAACTGGGAACAACAGTTTAAAGGTTAATATTGTTACAATTTATATGAATCAGTACATTCTGTTTATGCAAGAGAGGACTAAGTGGAGGTTCAGGTCAGCACCATCACTAAAAAGCTGGAAGGGAAAGCTAGCTATTGAAAATGCGTATGACACTGTTGAACTGCTACTGAAGCCTCAAAGAATGGTTTCCTAAACATTTACCTGCTGTCAGGCAGTAAAACTCTACCGGTAAAAGCCTTTTTTCAGTTACTGGTTATACCAACATCTGTGTTTAAGTCTCTAGTAGAAAAGTTTATCAGCACTTAGAATCAAAGAACCTTAGTAGGCTTAGCAATTGTTCAATGAAGATGCAGCATCCATGATTAAAATGCCCACAGCAATTCAGAGCAAGCAGTTTCAAACATGATAGTAATGCATCACTTTAGTCTGTGCAACTGGAACATCTTAGAAAACTGTGCTCAACCTACTTAACATATTGTACAAGGAGATAAGCAAATAGTAAAGACTTCCAAGAACCAAGTCCTCTATTTGGCTTTAACACAAACAAACAAAAGCATTCAGTTTATTTACCTTCTTCTCCCTTCCTTGTAAGTAAATGAAAAATAAATGCTTTTTTGCATACATTGTAAAACTAAGGTAGTAATCCCTCTCCAGCAACATCTCTTGGAAATGGAATGAAACTATCCTGGAGCTCTAAAAACTGGTGGTGTAATAAATGCTAATTAAAGCTCATCTCCCTCCTCTACATGCTGTTCTTCCATATATTGGGAAGGGAAAAACCTTGGAAGCTTCAATTTCTAATTAATTTTATCTTGTCAGCTTTTAATCAGTCATAAATTAATGCCTAACTCAAACTGGTATCTATAAACACACTAAGAAAACTCAAGTCAAGTATCTTTGCCTTCACTATCTTCAAGGCTTCCAAATGAGGAACTGTAGTCTTACTATAACATTATTACCTTGACTATGATGGAGAATCTTCCCTCTTTCAGCAAACTGCACATTATAAAGCGGAGGGTAATCTGCTACCTAGGTACTAGTAAAGTGAGGAAAGAAAAGTTGACATATGCCTGGAACTGTCAACGTGCAATTTTAAATTCCATCACTGAGCAGGGAAAAAGAATCAACTGGTTTAATCTCCAAGTCTGTAAACTGATCAAAATCATTCCCCATGGCAACCAGAAATGCTTTTCCTGAAATTTTTACTTTATAAGGAAAAAAGTGCCACACAGCTTTTGTAAGAATTGTGGAAAGGTTTGGGTTTATTCATTTTTGGAAGAATTGGTGCTGTCTTCTTCATATAGAACCACACACTTGATACTTCTTCCTTTTAGAGGTGAAAGAGTTAAACAACAACCTCTTCACAGAGAAGACTTTTAGGCAGTTTCCACAAAGGGGCTGCTGTCCTGACAAAGTACTCCAAAAAAAACCCCCAAAATTTAAGAAAGCAATGATCCTCCATCTTCTGATATATACTGGAGAATTTAAAACAGAATGTGGATTTTAGCTATACAAGCTCAAAAATAAAACAAAAAAAAAAAACAAAAAAAAAAAA